GCCTTACAAGCGTCGTAGTAATGTGGAGCGGGATGAGACACAACAACAGGAAGGATTGGACTATATAACGTATAATTTGTTATTTTATCGTTGCTTATTTTGCTATTTAGTCGTTGTATTTGTGGGATGAAGCATAATGATCCATTCATGATCCAATGTGATAAGTGCGAGTAAGTATTGAGCTTTTTTTAGAATCGTTTTTTATTCATTTTATAATTTCATACTCATTTGTTTAGCGTTTGGCAGCATGGTGTTTGCGTGAACATAAAGGAGGATAAAGTGCCTGATACTTATTTGTGTGAACAGTGTCAGCCACGGGAGCTTGAATTAACTCCAAAACAAGCAAAATCTATTCAAGTACGCAATTTAATAGCGACGAAAGCGCCTAAGCAAAAGAAGATGAATAAATCGAAGTCTTCTTCAATTAAATATCGTTCTAAAACCCCAGCACTTTCGGCTGCTCTTAAATTTGCCGGCAAAATACGGCGTACAAAGATGTTGTCTGGTGTAATTTCAAAAAGACGAGAACTTCCAAGAAGAAAAGATGGAATGCGTCCGCAGTATAAGTCATTCATTAATGTCAACTCAAAGGAGAAGAAGTCTGTCACCAAACGACAGAAACAAATTCAAAATGAATCTTCGAGTTCTTTGCATAACCAATATTCGAGTGGGGTTCAGTCTTTGATGATTAGTTTGCCACCTTACGTTTTGGTATTTTTATTACATTGAAATTTTAACGGCCATAATTTTAAATTTAGGGTGAGATTGGTTTACTACGCCGGCTTGATCATAATCCGTTGGCAAGACCAATGCTTGTTGCACCTAACATTGAAGGACTTGTTGCTACGCCTGGAAAGGTTTATCTTCTTGCAATAAAGTAAATATTTTTTAATATTAAAGAATTCAAACATTCCATTGGGTATGCCGATTGTTGAATATACTGGCACAATTTCTCTTCTTAACGAAGTAAAAAACTTGAATAAAATGATTGGAGACAAATTTACTTTAATTTATAGGTTATTTTCTATTTGCGTTTAATTCTAACATTTTTTAATTTTTAGTGGTTTGGGTGACAATAACAAAGTTATGATCGATGCAACTAAAAGTGGCTCCATTGCTCGTTCGGTTAGACGTTCATGTCGATCTAATGCGACGCTACAACACGCAGTCATCAATGGTCAGTTACGAATATATCTTTATGCTGCAATGAACATTGACCGATCATCCGAGGTTTGATCTTGAGTTAAAGGATGTTTTTAGTTTTATAAATTTAAAGGTGACAATTCCGTTTGATTATGATTATCGTGAATCAAAAGAACCTGTTGAATGCGCATGTAACACTTTGTTGGTAAGGAATTTTCGTAATTTTTTTCTTTATTTGGATTTTTTATAGGGAGTGAGTTTCATTGATCATTGCCCTATTTATGCGTTTAACAAATTGCTCGAAGATAATGCAAACAATAAAACGATTAGTGGTAAATCAACTACTGCTCCTCCAACTTTAAAAAAGTCTCCTGCATTTTCACCTCAGCGCCAGGCTTATTCACCAAGGCTGACGCGTAATTCATTGAATAGTCCAATTACAGTGAAATTCGAAAATGATACAACCCCAGCCCTTGAAAAGCAAAAATCTCCATTAAAAATAGAACATGTAATTGATGAACATAAGAGTCCTTCTGTTGATTCAATTGGGGATCCTCTTTCAACAACTCGGCCTCAGGTATTCTGTTTTTTTCTCCTTTTTTACTTTTTATTTTTAGAGACGCACTCCCAGGACAAGCAATTCAATTGGCGCGACAACCCCAAAACTTGAATTGGCAAAATCACCAACACCAAATGATCCAAAATTTATAAGTAGTGCTGCATCAACAATTTTAGAATCCAAGGTTTTTCTTTACAAAAAATATTTTTATATTTAAACATTACTCAAAACTGTTGAAAATTCTTAAAGATTATTGTTCAAAGATTTATTATTATGTAAGAAATCCCTTTCTAACTTTTTCTCTCAGGTTATGCCACGTAAATTGCTCTCTTCATCTTCACCGGCTGCCTCATCTCCCAAACGCACTTTAGTATCACCAACTAGAGGCTCACGTTCAAACACTTCGACAATGTTAGGGAAGATTAAGTGGGGTGACAAACCACCGCCAAATAAACGGAAAGAATCTCTCAATGAATCTTCACGTTCACCTTCAAAAAAGATTACTATTACTACACGATTGTCAGGTACTTCTCCACGGTTGGCAGCATCAATATCCAAGAAACCGAAAAAGGAAGAAAATGCCGAACCGAATTTAGTTGATGATAAGCATATAATGGTATTTTTTTAATTATATAGTACATATAGGTAACTGAATTTTAGAATAGGAGCGTTTTAATTTTGTTTTCTTTATTTCTGCTTTACCTTATCTAAAGCTTTTAAATTTAGTCTCGTGAGGAGCGCAAATTGCAGGCTACAATTGCTTCTATTGAACGTGCTGAACACCTCTCACAAGAGAAAAAGCGCAAACAAATTGAAAAAATACATGTAAAATTTAATTTCATATTTTAATTTTTTTATTTTCTATTTAGCCACCTTCCGAACCTCCCATCGTTACTAAATTGAAACGGAAATCTTTTAATGCCAAGGCTTCATCTGTCAAATCTGTTCAAAATGAATCTACTAATATTAGTTGCAAAAAGTTGTTTGAAGAATTAAATAAAATTACGAAAATGAAACTTGGAAAGTTGCAAGAGTTTAAATTGCCTTCTGACTATGATGCTTTGCGTTCGGAAGTGATGAAAGAATATCAAGCGAAAGGAGAAATTAGTCCTTCAAAAACAGAAATTCATTCAAAGAAGACAGAGAAAAGATCGAAATCACTTCGTGGATCATTAGGTTATGCAACAACATCAAAAGCATCAATAACAAGAGAAGATCAAACAAAGGATGAAGAGACATCTTATAATCAAAAATTGGTTTCTCCGGCGAGTGATGGATGTGTTTGGGAAAAAGAACAAATAAGTGAATGTTCTTCTGAACCTATTAAAGTGGCTAGTGCTCCACCAACAACAATCATCAATACAAGTGATATTGAAAAGACTGAAAAAGAAGGTGCTAATATGGAAGTTGACACGGAGGTACCGATTCGTCCACCGAATACAAAGGCACATAAGAAAATAACTTTGGAAGAATACAAGCGAAAGAAGAAGGCGGAGATGGAAGCGAAACAACAAAATACTGAAGATAATGCAACAGATAAAGAGTAATCTTTGATACAGATTTATTTTTTAAACACTTTCTATTTCAGGACGCTTGCTATTCAAGAACCTTCGACGTCGCGACCTTCCTCTTCAACGATGTTTTCAGCTTCGTCTGTAATGGCCACTAGACATTCTCCACGCAGATCCTTCATTCCTGCTATTAGCAGTTTGCCTTCGTCGCCACCCCAACAACTTGAGGATTTTGCACAAAGTCCTCCAGCAATTGGAGTACGTCATAAACAACTTTTCAGCGCACCGTCACTTGACGAATTGAAAAAGAGAATCCATGGTGAATCAAGCTTTTCCAGTAGTGCCGGATCATCAATGGGAGAAGAATTAGGTAAATAATATTATGATAATCGTCCCAAAATTTCATATATAATTTAATTTTTAGCAGAAACACAGTTACATCCTCCTTTGCCAGTTGATATGCCACCTCCGCCACCACCACCAAAGAAGCAACAACAGTCACTTGATGACCGTCTCAAAAAATTTGTGAAGAGGACCTCATAGATGATTGAAGAAATATTTGAATCATCGTTACTGAAAATGTCCCCCTCCCCCGTTTCTGAAATATTTGTCATAAAATCTGCTTCCCACCCAACAAATTATATAAACTCTAGAATTTCCTGATATGTAATTGAATTTCAATATATGCCAAAATAAACAATTTTGAACTAAATTTAAATTATATTCATTCTAGCTTTCGCTTAAATTTTACGCATTTATTAATTTACGATAGATATGGGATAGATACAATTAACCCTACACCATTGGGATTATTTACAAATATCTACGGAACAAGAATGATATGCATTTAATATAATAATAAAAAACCGAAATACTAAACATTTTTATTCGCTAGATATTCGTAAATAATCCCAATGCTGTTCGCTGGTATCATTTCTATCCCATATTTCTATGTCCTGTTTTATATTATGACAAAAATTAATTATTAGATCGTCCACAAATATTTTAATAAATGTATCTTGCTTGCCCATTAGCGGCATAAAAACTTTCGTCAATGGAAAAGTCGCCCTCATGATTTCTTTGTAAACCAATTGTAGCTGGAGGAGAATAGTGTTTTGGATTCTGTCGAGGAAGGAGGCATGAATTATTAACAGCTGATGTTGGTGTATTTTCGCTATTTGTTAATCTCCTTAAAAATCAGGAAATAGGCGAATCGTTATAGTGTAGGACCACCGAGTGGGAAACAGTCGATCCATCTCGCCGAGCTGCAACTCGATGAGAGGAGTTGAATGATATATACTTCGGGGTTTCCATTCGGTGGTACAGCCAGAAATAGTAATAAATTCATTATTAATTTACCTTCCAATTTTGCGTTTTTGTGCTGGCGGTTGTGGAGGAGGATCAGGTGGTGGAGGTAACAAGAGGAGGCTAGAGCCATTCAGCCTTTGATTTGATGATGATGGAGGGGATGAAGGTGGAGATGAGGGATGAAATTCTGAAAACATGGGAATATGTAATATTTGAACTTTATTATTAACCCATATTTAATTGTTGTTCATTATGGTGGTGATGAATATTACAATTATGTTGATTTCTTTTATTGTTTTGCCAATTTCGAGAGATAAAATCATTATCGTCACAAACAGGCAATTCCCTCATCTGAAAAAATAATGGATTAAAATTGTAAATATTTACTGCCATCGTTTATTTCCTAAAGCGTATTTAATGTTTTTAATTTTTAGATTATTCATTATATCTCATTCTTCCCCAAAGGATATAAAATAAATTCAAGTAATGTTTTGCCAAAAAATTAATAAGCTTGCCTGTGATTCATATAATTTGCTTCCTCGTTCAAAATGACTAGCTCGCAATAATGTCCCCGATGAATTAGAGGGTATATAGAAATTATTATTGCTTCCAAATAAACAAGAATGGCCCGTTGTATTAAATATTCCACCACTGCTATTTAAAGCACCTCCATTATCGAAATGTGTTGAATAACTTAAATGGAATATTTATTTAAAATAATTTTTCCTTTAATTACTTAGAAGATGCTTTAGCTCCATTAACGGCAGCAAGTAATCCAGCTGCTGAGTGAAAACCTCCACCAACACCTCCTATACGATAAGCTTGTTGTTGATGCTGTTGATGACGACGACGTATTTGCTCTGCTCGGTGCCTTCTCATTCTTCGATGTTTATATCGAAATACGCATAGAGCTATTAATCCAACCAATGCAATAAGAGTAACAACAACAGCAATTCCGATTAAGACTTTAAAGTTTGAAAATTAAAGTTTATTTGGAATTGGGTCATTAATGTATCGGCACAAGGGTGCCATAGCTATTTCAATCGACTATATCTATTCTAGTCATTATCCAACATGAACAAATCTTATATTATTCGAAAGCCCTTGATAAGCGATACCCTTTTTCTAGGTTAAAAGGTCAGGTCTGATCACTCTTTAAAAAGTTAAACTCCTTCGGATAAGTCCGACTGTATACAGAATACCACTTCCATTAGTATTAATTTTTAAAATAATTTTTTATAAATTTAAAATATCAAGAATCTACCATTAATAGTATTGCTATTGCTCCAGTCTATAGGAAAAAGAAGAGATGCAAATCCAGTTACCCCTGAAGAAAATTCATCAATTTCTTCCTTGTCATGAGTTTTAGCAGAATAAATAGGTCGAGAACGTGCAGAATTATTATTTTTATATTTATTTTTATTTAAATTTATTCTTCCATTATTTACAGCATTTTCGAGAATATCTAATAATTCAATATCTAATTGATGCATTGCAGCAGTAATTGCTTCTTTAGTGTCAGGAAAGAAAATTTTCCTTTAAAAAGTTTAATTAGATAAATAATAAAATAGGTAAGCTTCAGTAAAGCAGCTGGACTATAGCTATTTCTCTCCTTCAGCTAGTGCAAAAGGTTATTCGGTGGCTGGGAGTGAAACAGAATCTTCAATAGACCGGATTACATCACGCCGCCTACTGCACAGCTTTAGGAAATAAATGGCTATATACTTTATACTTCATTCGAAAATTCGACCCCTTTGTTTTCTTAGATCCCGACCTAATCATTTTACTAGCCAACTAAACTTTCAGTTCCTTAAGTGTTTAAATTATTTATTTCTTACTTCATTTCTTGTTTCAAACAAAGCTTTTTCTCTTTTAAATTGGCTGTATATAAAATAACATTAACCAAATATTCATTTCCTTCTTTTGATCTTTTTAAATATTTTTTAACATCTTCCCCTTCTTCAACTTCAATTCGTTCAATTATTGGATTTGAACAGGGAAAGGTAAATGGCCGAAGAGAATTTAAAATTTCCTTAAAAATTAATTTGTTTAAAAAATATTCTTCTTTTCTCTACTTTTTCTTGATGTTTAATCTGTTCTGCACTTTCTCCTGAAAAAATTAAGACAAATCTATGCCGATCATCTAATATGGAAATTGAGACAGTGGCACGTGAACAAAGACGTCTTTTTTGTTCTCCAGGGTTGTCACAAGCAATTACCTAATTAATTATTTTATTTTTAAATTTTCAAAAATTACCGTAATCCTAAAAAAGTTTTTCTTCGAAATTTGTGCCAATTCGTCAGCCCCCTTCTTTGGCCATAACTCTCCACTTTGTGGATCAATACCAAATAAATTCCCTGCTTCACCTTGTGTTGCCTCTTCAGTATCAATTGAATAATTAATTAAACTATTTCCATTTCCAGGTTCATCTCCGTCCTCTGCCTGAGTTAAAAATAATTTTTTTTGATTTTAAATTTTTAATAAAAGAAATTAAAAATATAATCATTTTTGTTTAAATTAAACATATTTACAGTTATTTTATAAAATCGTTGATTAGCCATTGTTTCAATAGGCAAAACAGCAAAAAAGCTTTCTTCAGTCCCCAACTTTTCATTTTTTCTTTCTCCTCCAATTTTATTAAAAACAAATTTTGGTTTATTGTCATTAACATCCAAAACAGAAATATTAGCCAATGTCCAATCTTGTTGACCTCCATTTTCGACAGTAATATTTAATAAATAATTTGGAATAGCTTCACGGTCAAGTTGCATTTGTGTTCTTAATTCACAATTTCCTTCACCATTTTGAGCAACACTTTAAAAGAATCTCAATTAAAAACAAAATATCTCTCTTTTCCAAACCTAAATGCCCCTCTTAAATTTCCTGTTCTAATTGCACAAATTGTAAAACGAGTATCACTCGGTTTATTAATAACAGGTAAAATTGTAAGAAAAACAGGCGGGCGAGTTCCTTCCATTATTGAAGAATTAAAATAATGACTCGAAAATTTAATTTTGTTTTGATGATTTGGAGAAGTTGAAGAAGAAATAGAAGTATTTTTATCTTAAAAGAAATATAATTATTTTTTATTAAAATTAATTTTATTTATTTACTTTCAATATTTGATTCTTCTATTGTTGTTTTTAAATATTTTTTTGTTGTTTTTTCTGTAGAAGAAAATAATTTATTATTATTTTGTTGGTTTTCTTTTAATTGTTCTTCTTGTTGTTTTTCCTTCTCTTCTTCATTTTCCTCATCTTCTTCTTCCTCATCTACCTCTTCAACTCCTTGCCAAGATATTGTTGTTGTTGTTGGTAACACTTTCTTTTCTTCATGCCTAAAAATTAAATTAAAAATTTGAAAAAATTTTGTTTTAATTATAGCCTCCCCCCCTAAATCCTCTAAACAAAATAATGAGGGATAATTAATTTATTAAAAAATACCTTCTAATTCCCTCCAAGTGTACAGCTATTTCAGCTGTACTATTTAATTTATTTCCATCAACACCTCCATCCACAACTTGAATTCTAAATCTTAAAATTCTTCCAGCAAAATTTTTTAAATTTGAAATTGTTTTTAATTGTCCAGTTTGGGAATTTAAAGAAAAAAATTGTTCCGCATTGATGGAGTTAATTGAGGAATTATTCTTTTTTGGAATAATGTAATAAAATAATTTATTATTTGGAGAAGTAATGTCTTGATCAAAAGCATGAACCTTGAAATAATGTTTATTTAATAATTTATATTTTATTCTTAGTACCTGGCCAATAATTGTGCCGGGCTCTGCAGTTGCTGGTATAGTGAATTCATATAAATTCTAAAATAAAATAAATTATTCCATTATAGCCTTTTAAAAAGCTTTAAAGTCTTTAAAGTAAATTTGCATCGCGACTATGTGCATCCTTCACGAACTTGTTTGAGGACCGCCCCGAAATGAATGGATAAACCTGTACTACCCCCAACGTTCAATCAAAGAAATTTTTGTAGAATATTTAACTAAATTAATTCTCGTTCATTACCTGTTCAAAATTAGGTATCCAATCATTAATATCAACAACATTTATTTGAATATCACAAAAATGTGCCAATCCAGTATCTGTTACTAAATTTATTTTTTGTCCATTTTCTAAATATTGTAGCTCTACAGCTTCGATTGTGCCAACTTTTAAATGATAAATTGGGGGCTGAGAAGGAATATTTGTTGATTCGGCATCTAATGCTTTTAGTAGTGTTATTACTCCGTTACTGGCATTGATACTGAAAATAAAAAAAATTAAAAAAAAGAAGAATGGAGTTTAAACATCAACAAAAAAAAATAAATTGGGATTTTTGGAATGTATTTATTTTTAGAATAAAATTTTAAAAAAAAGTAAAATTAGCAAGAATATATTCACGTGTTGCCAATAAACGATTTTTAATTTAAAAAGCAGAGTTGTTTCTATATTTGGGGAGTTTTTTTTATTATTTTTATAATTAAATTAAATCTTTTCTTTATGCAAATATAAAATACACATGAAGCAAAATATTTTTGCTAATTTTGCCTTTTTTGAAAGAATAAAAATAGAATTTAATAAAAAGAGATGCTTTTAATAAATCAAAAATAAATTACTCAAAAATATCCAAACTATAAAAATATTTTCAGAAATATACCAAAATATTATATATGTACATGCAAAATAAAATTTAAAAAAAATCACATGAAAAATAAAAAAATAAATTTAAAAAATAGTAGTTAGTATATTTGTATATTTAAATAAAAATATTATTATTAGAAATATTATTAGTAATAAATAAATTAAAAATATTATTTATCCGTTTAATATTTATAAAAAAATATTCTCATTAAAACATTTTTTCTTTTTAAAAATAAATTTTTAAATTATTTAAAAATATTTTAATAATTTTTAGATAAATTAAATAGAAAATGAAATTTTTATTTTTTAATATTTTTATTTTAATAATTGTAATAATTAATATTGGAAATCCTTCGTTAATTGTTTTGGCAAATAAGGAAAGAGGAAAAAAGAATGAAGTTTTATTATTTGAAAAAACTAGACAAAAACGCCAATTTTCAAAAGTTGATGAAATGTTGAATCAACAAAAAAATAATGGATGGCCAATAAATGATGGAAAGTAAAATAATGAAGAAGCAAATAAGAAGATAAATGGGAATTTAATAAAAAGAAAATTAAATTGAAAGGAAAATATTTTGGGAGAAAGAATTATTTAAATTTGGGATTTAATTAAATTTTTATTAAATTTGGGATTATTTTAAAAATAAAAATAAATTTTCGGTATTTTTAAAGGTAATATTCAATTTCGTTCCCCCCTCCTTTTTTCCTTCCTCAAAGTATTACAAAATGGTCAGTCAATCTTAAGTTATAGAACTCGTCGAGCTGTGTCGAATGACACCAAAATCGAAAAAATCGGACCTGATTTGACCGAGATACAGACCCCTGAAAATTGAACAACCATAGGGGCAATTTTTTGGACTAAAAAAATTTTATCCAAATGACAGCACATTCGAAAGAGCTCTTCGAGTTGAGTCGAAGAACATATAAATCAACGCGGTTAGACATGGTTTGACAAAGTTATGACCTGAATTAGACCTAACGGAGTCGGTGACTTATGTCATAATTTTGTAAAATCTTGTCCAATCACGTTGATTTCGGTGTCATTCGACTCAACTCGACGAGCTCTTTCGAATGAGCTATTATTTGTAAAAATTTACGTCCTTATGGCTTTTCGCCCCTATGGTTGTTCAATTTTCAGGGGTCTGTATTTCGGTCAAATCAGGTCCGATTTTTTCGATTTTGGTGTCATTCGACACAGCTCGACGAGCTCTATAACTTAAGATTGACTGACCATTTTGTAATACTTTGAGGAAGGAAAAAAAAGGGGGGGAACGAAATTGAATATTACCTTTTTAAAAATTAAAAATTAATTTACCTAAAAAGACTTTGATCCCCAGCCAAAAGAACATAATTAATTGGACCCGGTCCTTCATCAGGGTAATTAGCAGAAAGTGTAGCTAACTCCAATTGTTCTTCATTTTCTTCAACAAATATTTTTAAAGCTGCTGAGGAAAAAATGGGAGCAAGTCGAGTACTTTCCTCTTTTTTGTCTTCAATTTGGAGTTGGGGAGAATCTAGAGGAAAATATTTAAAAAAAATTAATTTTCTTTATAAATTAGAGCATTATTGGAAATTTATTTAAAATATATTTGTATATTTAGAAATTAACCAGTAGATGTGTAAATTAATTGAGAAGAAGAAGAAACTGGTAAAACAATTGAAGATAAAGTAGTGGTTGAATTTAAATAATTTAAGTTTATAATAGAATTAGTTGTCGTTGTTAAAGGATATTTCGAAATTGTTTGGTTGGAGGAAGATAATTGGGGAGGAATAGAATAAGAAGATAAGGGGACATTATTAGTATATTGAAAGGGTTTTGTTGTTGTTTCTATTTAAATTTTAAAAATTAATTTATTTTAAAATTCCAAAATTAACCTTTATCAATTTCAATATTTTCCCCTAAATTTTTTTCTTTTGTTTTTTGTTTATTTGGTGTAACTAAAGAAACTTTGCCAATTGCTGCTTGTGGTAGTGGTGGTGGAAGAGGTATATCCACACGTGTAAAAGGTGGGGGATTTCTTGTTGGGAAAGGATTTAAGAGTTGAGATTCGCCTTAAAATAAAATAAAATAAAAAAGAAAAATCTGTTGAACATTAAAAAACTAAAAATAAATTAAAAGAAAAGGATTTATTTTAAAAGAAGTTTAAATCAATTTCTTTTATTTTTAAAAGTCTCAAGATTTCAAAGTTTCTTTATTAAAAATATTTTTATTGGTAAAAATGATTATATATTTAATTTTGTATTTTTGTTTATTTTTTATTCAAAAGTGTTCAGGTAAATACTCAATTAACTGCCAAGTGGGGGCAGGCAAACCTACCGCAACTCAACCTACCGCCGAGGCTATAACTTTGTTTAAACTTGTCGAATCAGTGCCAACCTGGAATGGTTCGATGCAACCTAACGAGCTGATCCGAACCATACCAGGGAAGCACAACTTAGTCAATTTTGACAAAGTTATAGCATCGGCGGTAGGTGGGCTCGCGGTAGTTTGAGGTGTACCCTTGCCAAGACCCCCTTTTAGTGTAATTATTTTCTTTATTTTGAATAAATTAATTACCCCAGAATAATTAATTTAAAATAATATTTTATTTTGTTTTTAAAGGATTTTATTGTTTTGTGGATCATCCTGATGGAAAACTTAATCGTGAAGAATGTCATTTAGATTATTGTTATACTTTAAAATGTGATGGAAAAAGTTGGATATTTTTTGAATATTAAATTATTTTTAAAATTATTTTTTTAGCTGAACGTGGATGTACTGGGGCTAATTTTCCTTTTGATTGTGAAAGTAAAGAAAATATTTGTAAAATGTTTCACCCAGAAGCTAAATTACCCCCAAAATGTCGTTCATGTAAAGGGGATGATTGTAATAGAATAACAATAAAAAGTGGAAGGAAAAGGATAAAAAATGGAGGGAAAAGGATAAATAAAGAAATTAATTTTTATTTAATTTTTATATTTTTTGAAATTTTATTTTTGATATATTTTTATTTTTAAATAAAATTTTAATTTTAATTTTTTTACCTTCAATTTTCTTTTCTTTTGCCATTCCAACACGTGAAAGTACACCAAAAAGTTGTCTTTCATAATTTCTTTCCAAAGCTGCAGATTCGTCAGAAATTTGTTTAGAATTGGATAAATGACGAGAATTAATATTTTCATTGTCTGTTGCAGAAGAAGATTGGGAAGAAATTGAAGAAGAAGAAATTTGTGGGGGAGGTAAATGTTTGTTATTATTATTTGTTTGGCCTAAAATAAAATAAATTTTTCTATAAATTTCTTTTCTCTTACTAAAAATTTTTGGAGACTCAGAAGTTGTAAAAGGTAAAAGTAAATTTAAAGATTTTGATGTAATTTCACCTCCAGTAATTAATGTTTCATGCACATTAGATCCAACACGTCCATCAATACGTACACTTACTACAGCACGTGCCTCTAAGGGTTGTTGGCCGTGATCTATTGCCATTAATGTTCTGAATGGGATTTTAAAAAATATTTTCTAAAAGTATTTTTTTAAAATTACAAATGATGTTCTCCCAAATGTGCAGCAGTAAGAGGCCCATTTATTCGAATTTCACCTTCATCATTAACAATAAATAAACTTTAAAAAATAATTTTATTTTCTAAATAATTTAAGTACCGATCAAGTGGGGGAAGTACTTTAAGGCTTATATGAGCATTCTCTCCCTCATCTGCATCTGCAACATTTATTCGGCCAAGAAGTAAATTTGTTGTTTGTGGAAAGGAAAATGGAGATAACTATTAATTTATTAGATATTTAATATGCACTAATATAGTCGGATATCACTATAAGATATCTCCAAAACTATATACATACTGTTCAGATTAAGAATGTTTTAATAAGATTGGCTTTTAAATTTGAGTATAAGAGAGGGCGGTCTATCTATAAATCTATGTAAGACACATTTTTTCAGCCTCTAGGGAGGTATCTTATAATTGAGACTCGGCTAATTTAAAAAATTTATTAATTATTAAAATACCTCATCTAAACGTGTACGGACAATTAAAGGTTGGGGATCTACAAAATGTGGAGCATTATCATTCGCATCAAGTACATTAACTTTTACATTTGTTAAATAAAGTAAATGATCTACTGGAATGCGTGACCTCGTCTTTTAATTTTTAAAAATTATTTTTTAGAAATTTTTTTCTAAATTTTCTACCTCAATTCTTAATCTATGTATTTTATCCTTTTCTCTATCCAAATTAGCCCCAGTAAATAAAATTCCATTTTCTGGTTCTAAAATAAATTTTCCTTCATCCCCATCTCCAATTAAACGAAAATATTTTGAAGATTGTCTTTCTGGCTGCTCGAATTGATTATTAGAAGTAATTCCTCCTCCTAAAGCTGTTACAAATGTTCCAATTGGTGTTAATTCTGATAAATCAACAGAAATAAATTGCTCCTAAAAATTAATTTTAAATTGCTTGTCTAACACAAATTTCCAACCAAATTAGAATGTTTTTGTGATGGCAAGGACGGTTGTTGTCCTTCAACAGGAATTTGTCTTCCTTGAGACAAAGAATTGAGAGAAGCAAGTAATTCCTCTGAAGTGGGTATTTTATTTAAATTTTGTTGTTGTTGGGAAGAGACCAACTGATTATTAACTAATTGAGAATTAGTTGGGAAAGATGGGAGTGCTTGGACTAAAACAACAGCATGCCCAACTAATCCATCAGAATCCCTAGCTTCAATTACAACCTAAAGATAAAGATTTTTCAGAAAGTTTTAATCAAAACTTTATATTTGTGTCCAGGCAATAAAGGTCCAACAGCACGTAATTCATTGCTAATCTCATCATATCTAAATGAAGAGAATGCCCCATCACTTACGTCTATTATTCGATAACTTAAAAAAAAATTAAACTATATTTTTTCAAAAACCCCCCAACTAACATAACATTTCCATCCCCTTCTTCCCTTGCTTTTATTTGTGCAATTGCCCTTTCACCAATTGCTAAAGCAGAAACATTAGCAATATAAATTGACTGTTTAATTTCTTCTTCTAAAGGATGTGTTTCTTCTGAATAATAATTTCTTTGTTTCATTTGTTCTTTATTATTATTATTATCAATTAATTGAATAATTATGCTAATTGGAAGGCTATTCCGTTTAGGTTCTGTATCCATTTCCTTCTGAAAATTAAAAAAATAATAATCTATAATACAAAAGCTCTAATAATTACTCTAATAATTGCCTTGCCTCAAATAATTACCCCATCTCTTGATTCCCCCAATTACCCAACCTCTATCCAAAATGATTAATGCTTACAGCAATAACATGCAATACAAAAGGAGTATTCTCTGTCTTATCTGATTCTGGAGTTTCTAAAATTCCAAGATTTGTAGCATCAGCTAAATAAAGATTTCCTTGATGATCTACAGCAAAACGTTCAGCTCCATATCCACTTAAAACATATTGATATACAGCAGAGGGAGTACCTGGTTGCTACAAAGATAATATATAATTTTTTTAAGAATTGAAGCTAACCAAATCTTTGTCTTCAACTAAAATCTGTAGAGGAAGTGATTGGTCTGATGTGCCAATTCTAACAAATGTTCCTGTACTAGCAGATGAAGGTAAATAACCAACATGTGATTTAACCTTTTAAATTATTTTTTGTTTTGTTAAAAATTTAAAAATTTAATTGGTTGAAATAATGGGAATTATTTAACATAAAAATAATTAATATCCTAGTCTTTTAAGTGATAATTTTGCTTAGATTTTGTTTAAACTTTATTTCAAATTTATTAAATTCAAATCAACGTATTGAAAAATAATAAAGAAATTTTAAAACAATAAATGAGATTATTATAGTAATTATATGAGATTATTAAAATGAGATTATTAAAGATTATCCAATTAATTACCTTAAGTACCGGATCGTAAAATGATGGGCGTATTTGATGACGCTGATATTGAAAGGGTCTATTATTTAGCAAAGATTGTTGTTGTTGTTGAAGCAATAATTGTTGTTGAGGTGAAAATTGTGAAGAATGTTGGGGAGTAAATTGAGATGTTGCCGCCCATTGAGAGGCAATTAAATAAGTGAAAAAAGGCAAGAAATAAAAAATAAAAATAAGTATTTTTGGTAAAAAATATTTTGAATTTGATTGCATTTTTTATTTAAATTTTGAGGCATTTGCCTTTAATGAAGTTATTTTATTATTAATTAAGTATTTGTATTTGTTCATAATAATTTAATAAAAAATAAATATTTAATGGATTTTGAAAAATAAAATTAAGAATATTTTGGATTGACATTTAATTAATCTAAAAATATTTAAAAATTGTAAATAAAATTTGTTTTTATTATTTTAATTATTTAATTTTAAATTAGACAGGTCATCAATAAAATTAAAAAAAATAAAATTCTAAAAATAAAAAAAAGATCAGAAAGTTGTAAATTAATATTTAATATATTTGGAATAGAGAATTCAAAGAATTTTTTTATTATTTTCCAACGGAAAGTATAGGTAAATCGGAGGAATGAGAGAGTGAACAGGGAGAATATTTAGGAGAAAGTCTTTTTTCAAACAAACACACACCTTCGGCCACAAAATCTCGCAATGCATTGTTTGCGCGTCCATCAAAACATTTTTGTAAAAGCTGCTAGATATATTGTGGCTAACCTCCGAAGAAAAACTAGCCAATTATTGATTGATGGACAAATCCCTCGAATTATTAACTAACTAGTGACTGACTAGTGACTGACTGGACTCCTTCAACTATGGCCAAGTTTTGTTAAAGAATGAAGGCGAAGGAAGTTGTTACAAAATAATTATATTTGCTTCTTTTTGTAAAGAAAATTACGCGAGAAAATGTTTAAAAGAAATTTTGCTAAAAGTGGCAACAATGAATTTTTAAGTGGATCCAAATAAATATTTTGTTTATTTTAATCCATTTTTAGATATTTTTAATATTAAAAATAATTTCTCGATAAATTTAAATATCTACTATGTGGATATGTCAAAGCCGGATGTGTTTTATTTTTGTTTTGGTTTGTGCCAGCTTAAATCTAGAATGAAACGATTGAATTCTCAAATATTCTTAAATAAGTTTCTAAACAATAATAAATTTTTAAAAATAAAAATATATTATTAGGTGAAAGGGCAACATACTACCTTTTTAAGATATATTTAAGAATTTATTTATTATTTAGCCGATGAATGTTCAACGAAGAATGAAAACTAAAAGTGAGAGGATTTTGGACGTGCACAAACAATTTATTTATTTATTTTGATGATTTAAGCTATCTAAATGCTTCATTGACCGTTGACGTCCATTCAAGTGGTCAATTTTTTAAAAGTGATTTTAAATGAAAAATAAATTATTTTTTTTTATTTTAAAGAATTTAAAATTATTAAATTAGTAATATATTTTTGAATTAAACAATTACATAAAGTTAATCGGAATTTTTAAACTAAGATTTTAGAGTTTACCCAGTCTATAACGTTCAAAGTTTGTAATAATTAATTCAATTATTAAAATATCTTTAAATTATTGTAATGAAGATTTAAATAAGAATATTCAAGATTTTGAAATAAAATTACAAAAATTAATTTTTTTATTCACATACAAATTTGTAAATATAAAAACACGTTTTATTTTATTCTGCCGTCTTTTGGAATTGTTTGCTGAGAAATGCAAAACTTAAAATAAAAATATTTTAATTTTAAAAAATAAAATAATTCACAATTATTAAATTACTACAATATTTTAATTTAAAAAATTATAAGGATAATGATCAATATATAAATTTATTAGAACAAAAAATTCAAAATTCTGATAAACTTTGTAAACGTATTGAATAACTATACCAACAAAACATCATACCGGATATTACAAATTTCTATTAAATATAACAAAAATTTTCCAAAATTTTCAAAAATAATTTATTAAAAAATTTTAGAATATTTTTGCAATCAATTATTTTTATTTTAATTATAAAATATGTTAATCCTCTATTATTGTGATTATTTTATTTGTTTAATAAAAGTTATTGTAATAAATATGTGTATATATTTTGTTAAAAACTATAAATAATTTAAAATATCTATAATATATTTTTTATTTAATTCAATTAATTTTCTTTTTAAAAATTTTATACCAATTTTTAATTTTTATATAATTAACTCAAAAATTCAAGTGTTAATTTAAACAAATAAATATTTATTTATATTTAATTTGACAAATAACTAAACAGTTTTCAAAAAATTAAATATTATTCTTTCATTTCTTTAACCAAAAATTGATTTAAAAAATATATTAACAATTATGTATGTCTAAATATTTTATCAAAAATTTAAAAATGATAAAGAAATTAAATATATTTATTTTAATAAATTAATAACGGGGTCATTAACTACAAAATTAATATAATCAATTAATTAATCGCTAGACTACAAAAAATAAATATTAAAAATATATTTATTTACAAATTAATTTTATTATTCATTCGTATACATACCTCTAAATAGATTCTTAATTAAAAGAATAAAATTTGTTTGATTTACAGGTTAAAATAATTAAAATAATAAGTTAATTAAGCATTAATTACATAATTAATTCCAATTATTTCTCTCTCTTATTAAATTATTTCTACCGTTTTTTAATAAAAAATATTTTTTAGATTAAAATTAATTAAAAAATTGCTAGACTACAAAAAATCTTTTTTAATTTATGGAGAAAACCAATGCATAACGAACATATAAACTCAGAACAAAACTGGATTTGGGACCAATCTATTCAACAAAACAATAATTTATTTAATAATAAACAACAAAAAATAATTAATAATCAACAAGTCTCTTTTAAATTAATAATCAAAAATAAATTTTAATTTTTTAAGTTAAATTACGAATTTTGGCAACAACAAAATTCATCACAAATTAAAATAACAAAGAATGATAATTTAAATTTATATAACAATAATACAGGAATATCATCACAAATACAAGTAAATATTTACTAATTATTTCTATTTTTCTATTCAATAAGAGTAATCCCTCCCGTGAATTAGTTGTTATTAGACAACCAGAAGAACAACACCGTGCACGTTATGCATCTGAAGGAAGTCGAGGAGCAGTCAAAGACCGTTCTGGAACTTCTTATTGTTCTATTCAGGTGATTTAAATATAAAATAAAATATTTAGGATTAATTGAATATATCTCTCAATTAATTAACTTGGATAATTATTATTTTTACTTTATGTTGGAGGGTAATGAATAGGTTCTCCATAGGTGAAATGAACGGAGAAAACTCCGAATTAAAGACTGTATGTCTATAAAATAAATAATTTTTAAAATTATTTTCCAAAAAATATTTCCAGCTAAATGGATATTATCGCCCAACCCGCGTTGAAATATTCGCTGCGGAACGAGAATATTCTTCAAATGTTCCTAGTTTTGTGCCACATTCACAATACAAATTAGTTCCCGTATTGGGAAAGTCAGCAACGGTTTTTAATAAAAATTCTAAAAACGATTTTTATATAATAATTTATTTAGATGACACCCTGCAGGAAAATAATTAAAAATAACGGGTCAGAATGCCTGGTACTAATATTTTTAATTTTTAATTTGGATTTAATTTTTAAATATAAAATTTAGGAAATTATTCTAAGGCCTGAAAATAGAATGATTGGAATGTATGTTTTTACATTTAATTAAACAGATATTTAAAAATTCTTAAGAAAAAATATTAACTAGAGACAGGACTGATTAAATAGCTTAACGATTTAATGACAAAACTCTATCTGTTTATTGAAAGTCCCTAATTCTATGTCTATCGATAAAACGTTGACGGAATGCTTGGCACGGATGTCCGTGTAAACCCGGCGTAACGAATTAAAAATTCACTATATGTAATTTAAATATTTACTGTCCAAGAATAATAATAAAAAAATAAATTTATAGAAAAAACTTTAAATTAATTAATTTAGTTTGGATTGTATCGGAATTATGAAGATATGTGCTTACAACAATAATAAAACAGTTAATAATAATTATGAACGTAAAAGACATTCAAAAAACAGAAAAAGGTCACGACAATCAAATAATAATGATGATAATGAGGAATATAATCAACAAAAAGAAAAATATTTAGAAAAAGAATATCAAAATAATAATATTCTTTATATTGTTGCTAAGGCATTTTTACCTTTAGACGGAAGTAATAAAGAAGAAAAACAAAATTGTGGAAAAGTTGAAAATTATGAAATTATTGAGGCTGTTACTGAACCAATTAAATGTGGTAAAAAAATTATTTTTAATTTTTATTTGAAAACTTGACCAAATAAAAAATACCTAGGTATGTGTTAAACGACATTTAATTTAACAATTATTTTCCACTAAAAATTAATTAAAAAAACTATTTTTAGTTCATCAAGTCGGAAACCCAGATATTTTAAAAATATCACTAGAATCATGTCCTTCTAACGGAGGTCAAGAACTTTTTATCATTGGAAGAAATTTTGATCCAAAGGATACAAATGTTTTATTTAGAGAATATAAAAATGGTATTTAAAAATTAAATATTTTTTATTTAAAAATTTTTTAAAGATGGTTCACTTGGCTGGACAGCTAAAGCTGTAATTGATAAACGATTTTTACACCAAGTTTTAATTAATTTATTTAGTTAAAAAATATTTTTAATAATTTCTAGTGTTATATTGTGTGCACAATTCCCCCTTATCGAAGTAATTGTCGAGGGGCTACTGTTTCTTTGACTGTTGTTTGTGGGTCTAAACAAAGCCATCCAATTAATTTTTTATATACAACTTGTGGTAATCTTAATTTTTAAAATATTTTCTAAAAAATTTTTTAGAAGTTGAGGATGATGATTGGCGACCACCAGATTGCTCTTTTTCTTCTAATGCTGAATGCTCCTCTTCCTCTCAATTAACGTGGTCCTCTTCTATTGCTGTCCCACACCAACAAGAAACTCAAAATTATTTTTATGGTTATTTCCTTTTATTAATTCTAGTAATAATAAATTTATTTTTTAGATGAAACACAAAAACAACAATTATTTAATAATTCTTTTCAAAATGAAAATTATTTAAACAGAAACAACTTTGATAATTCATTTATTTTCGATGGTTCAAGTAGCACTTCTATTAATCAACAATAAATTACTTTATGAATTTTATATTTTTATTTGGATAAAATTAAAAAAATTTATGAAAATACATTTTTGTATTTTAGCTAATTTGAAGTAAAATGAATAAATATTTTTATTATTTAAATAATAGATATTTTAAACCAGAAAGATTAAAGGATTATAGGCTCCATTTGATCTTATACTAAATTAACAGATATCCAACTTTATCCTTACTACTTTTATTTTTGAAAAAGGATTAGTGTTAAATTATTAACTGGGTCGTTAACCTTTAAAAATATTTTTTCTGAAGATTTCTAAAATATTTTTGTTAATTCTAAATCTTCTCATTCATTCCAAAATTCTCTATTTTTTTACATTTTCATTCAAAAGTTCTCTGCCCTCATTTATACATAGAATTGCAAATATAAAAAAATAATTTGTTTGCACTTTATGTGTTCGGAAGGGGAATTAAAAATTTTTTATGAATGATTTAAAAAATGTTTTTATTGTTATACTTGGATTTAAATTGAAAAATGAAAGTATTGGGAGTGGAACTTTTTATTATTTAAACTTGTTTAGAATCCAAAGAAATAAATTGTTTTGTTGTTAAAATTGAAAATTAAAATTAATTTTTATTAAAATTCTCTATTTATTTTCTTTCAAATTTCTTTAAACAATAAGATTGGCTTCAATTAAAATAAATATTTTTTTTCAAAGTTACCTAATCTATTTTTGGTCCAACATTATTTTTAAATTTTTCATTGAATTTAACAAAGTTTAGTATTATTTAACTAGAAATTTCTTTGTACTCAAGACATCAAAATATTTAACTTCTAGTATTATAGTATGTAGTTTGTAAACACAACTCTATACAAATATTTAACAATTAGGCCTTTTATTTATGAAATTAACTCTTTTTTATGTTTTTTCTTAAACTTATTTTCGTAAATATTTCTTTTGTTTATTATTTTATCTAAGGGATGAGATAAAAATCTAAGGAATTAGATTTACGTAAATAATCCAAAGTGTTAAAATTTGTCAAATTAAAAAATTGTCCTTCCATATTTCATCCCTTTTTCCAGGTACCTTGCTAACTGAGGGTGTAATGAAACAAAATATAAAAATTTAATTAAATACATATTTAATTTATTTTTACATTTAAAAAAAATTTTTCCAAAAATTTTTTAATCTTTAATTCAAAAAAATTTCTAAAAACAATCGTTGAAAACTCATTTTATCGCCGTTACGGATCAGTGGCAATGGAGGGCAAGGGCGCAAGGAAGTTCAGCTGACAGATTCCAAATTTATTTTAAATTGTACTTTATTTATAATTTAAAATAAATTTTTTTCTTTGGAAAACAAATAAATAAATATATTTTTTGTTGCCTTTATTTTAAATTTAATTTTTAAGGCAATAATTTATATATTTTTTGCAAACTGAAAAGGCAATTTTTTAATTTTTTTACTTGGTAAGGAGAGTTTGTTTTATAAATTCTTTCTACAGGAATCAGTTTTTTAAATTAATTAATTAAGTTTTTTTAATTTAAATCAGAATTTTCACATTTTACGGCCATTTGTTGAATCTCTTTTACATTTGTTTTTTTTTCAGAAACTTTGAGAACCGTTCAAAAAGAACAAATTTCGTGTTTTCTTTTCTATTAAAATTTTTAATTTAATTAAAAAAAGAAAATTGTTAAAATTTCGAAAGTTTACTTTTCCAATTTATAAATTGAAAACATAAATTAAAAACTATTTCTTTTCTAGTTTTTTGGAAATGGGGCCGGGAATTAGTCGATGTTGAGGATTGAGGGTAGAGTAATAATTTTCTAACCAATTATCAAGTTATTTTTTACAAAATATTTATAGAAAAAATAAACGAAAAAATATTAATGTGTAAATTCAGTCAAGTTTATTCTCTTATTTTACAATAATTTCAAAACATATTAATTTATTTTAACGCCAATGCTTTAAATATTCCTTCCTTTAATAAATAAGCTATTACAAAAATAACAAATATTTATTTAATTCCTTATTCCATAATATTACAACAGTCTTCCTTTTCACAAATCTATTAATTTAATATTTCTAAACTTTCCTATTAATTAATAGGGCTTTCTTGGAAGTTTTCTGCTTTGTTTTTTTTGTTGTAAAACTTTTTATTCTCGGCACCTCATTAATTTAATACAGTCATTAAAGTCAAAAGGAATAAAAATTTTTGTGAATAAGGATACAAACTTGACAAAATCGAGACTTTCATCCTTTTCCTTAACTTGCAAATCGAGACTTTCATCCTAAATAAGGATATAATTAACAATCCTTATTTATATTTATTCAAAAACTATATTTATGTACTATTAAAAACATTATTAAAAATTGAAAACAAAGTTTATTCATTCACAAATCCCTATTATTATAGGTGCAGGAATTAGCGGTTGATTGACCACAAAAATTCCTTTTACTATTTCTCGTTTATTCTCACATAATTATCCGGATCTGAAGAAGCATTTACATTATTGCTATTTCCCTTTTTAATCGTTAATAGTAGAGTTTTTAGCTGAGAAAATATTTTTATTTATTTTATTTAAAGTAATTATTTGTTAATAATTTTTTGATTTAATCTCTCATTCTTTATTAATTTTCTCAGAAGAAAGCATTGAGTTGAAATTGTAATAAAAAAATATTTAACATAATAAAGAAAGAATAATTTATTAATTATAGTAAATCAAAGATTAAAAATCAAACATTTATCTGAATTAGAGCCAACCAGAATTTTAACAAAAATTAATTTAGATTTCCCTTCTTTATCACCTTTTAAATGGATTACTCTTCAATATTTTTGTGAAATATTTTTATTTATTTTCTCCATTTTTGTGCACTTTTTATGGAATTCTCTCTCTTTCTTATTTAATTGTCGCAATCCCCGCCCTAGGGTTCAATTAATTTTTGGTTCCGACACGAATTTAGAAGAAAACGAAAAAAATTCTGAGTGTGAAATTGTTTTTTCTTTTCTCTTTTTTTATACTTTTGAATGTACAAAAAATTGTTATTGAGGTGGTTTGTGTAATTCATCATTATTTGTTGTTTCACTTTCCTTTTCCCAAAAAATTATTTAAAGAACTTTATTTAAAATATTTTATTATTTTATTAAAATTTTAAAATTATTTTTATTCTCTTCTCATGTTTTGAAAGTAAAAAAACAATACTTTTCATTTTTTCAAATAATTGCTAGGATATACCATTAATATTTTTAAAAATATATCGCTTCAGTAATAATCTGCATAATAATGCCCTTTTGGTTGTTAATATCTGTGAGGAAGGAATTAACAAAAATATATTTTTTAAATAATTTTCATTTCATTTTAAAGTATTTTTTGGTAATTTTGTTTTCCATCTTTTCTCTATTTTTAAAATTGTTCTTTGTTGTAATTTTATTTTTTGTAATTTTAGAATGAAGTAAAAATCATTTCAAACGAGTTTAATAAAATTCTTTAAAATGTTAAAATAGTCGGCCCTCAATTATTATGAGAATACAAGTAAAACATACAGACACAAACCCACATATTTACAACACAGAATATGTTTTTTATCATTTTGTTGGCCATATTTAGAGGGGATTGCTTAATTGATATTTCCAATTATACGAATAAGTAGATTCTAGATAAATACAATTTTCCAACCCCAAGTTAATTAATTTTAGAATTTTTTATGTCAATATTCACATAATGTTTATTAAAATAATTGTTCTTAGATTTACAAATTTACAAATTAATTAAATAACTTTAAAAATGCAAATCTGGGAAATGGAATCCTTTCCCTGTGGAGATCTTCGCCTCCCCCACCATATATTCCCCCCAAAATTTATTCAACAAACACAACTCACTGAATTGGCTGGCGTTCACCTTTATAAGGTAATGAGAATGTAAGTAAATTAAATAAAAATATTTAAAAAAATAATTAAAATAAAAATTCTTTGTTTTTTGTAAATTTTTATTTAAATTATTTTTAGGTAGATATGGATGATACTATGGCTATGAAGAAACGATTGACACGTGTTCGAGAACAATGGAATGTTTCTGGGTAATTTATTTGAAATTTAAAATTCTAAAATAATTTTTATAGAGCAGATGTGGTTACTTTAAATAAGGATTTGGTTGATTTGGAATTGAAGGTGATTAATTTCTAATACTTATATCAGGGATCGCGCCGACCCGATTCACGAAAATCGTGAATTCGAAAATTTCGGGTATTCACGATTCCTGAAAATCGTGAATTTGATTTTCTGTCGGCGCGATCCCTAATTTATATGTACATATTCTTATATTTTTAAAGCTTTCTGAAATGACAGAACCAACAGAAAGTGATGATTGTGTTTGTCTTGTACTTGAAGGTATTTTTAATTAAAATACGTGCTTGTGTTTTATTGTTAAAAAAATTAAAAAAAATTTTTTTTAATATTCTTTAAAAAAAGGTGAAATGTACTACGACATTGAATTTGACGATGAAAAATGGTTACGAATTCATTTACAACGGGGTGATTTAATTATTGTGCCGAAAGGAATTTTTTATCGTTCAACTGTGACACCAACGGTGTTTTTAATTTAATCATTAAATTTTAAAAAATTATTTTAATTTTAGAATTATGTAAAGATTCAACGTTTTAATAAATTACGCCAAACAAGTAATGGCTAACAAAAAAGAATAAAAGAAAAGGAGAGTAAATTGAAGAATTAAAAAGGAAGAAAAAATAGATTAAATTTTTTAAACAAAATTAAAATCCCTGATAAATTAGGCCTTTATTTTGAAATTTAAGAAAAATAAAAAAAATAATTTAAAAAATAAAGGCTTTTTAATTTAAATTATTTATGTCATTAATGTATGATTTTAAAATTAAATTGGAGTTATTTTTTGGAATTTATTTTATTTCGAGTAATAATAAAAATAAAATCTCATCTTATTTTAAAATTATTTTTGACTAAAGATAAGACCTAACAGTAAAAGGGTTTCTCTTAAAGTGAGAGTTGAATGTGTTC